GTGTATTGTTATTGTTGTTGTGTAATTTACCTCGTGATTTTTTCATTTCTATTCATTCATTTATTCATATTGAATCTTTTCACTCTAAGAGGAATTTTGTTGTTTNCTGACGACGAAACATTTGTTCGTGATTGTTCTGAAATGAGTGCTGCATTGCACTGAAGATGAATGATCTGAATTGCAGTTTGATCTTCCAGTTGTATATGATTAACATTCATACTGTTTATGTATATGTATATCGTTCAGTTTCAAAGCTATCGGAAAACGCAATTGCTTTTTAAGGGTATGAATCGCTTTCTATGAACAAACGGTTTACGGTTATGCTTCGCAAAGCAAACGAATCAGTAGGCCATACGGAGTGATGTGTATTGTTATTGTTGTTGTGTAATTTACCTCGTGATTTTTTCATTTCTATTCATTCATTTATTCATATTGAATCTTTTCACTCTAAGAGGAATTTTGTTGTTTTTGTACTGTCTCATTGGCGATTTTCTTCTTGTATCGAATCATTTTCTGCGGATTGAATCATCCTGCTTTGTTCTTTTACGTCAATAAAATTCATTTCAATGAAAGTCAATCGTTTAAATATGTTTTATGGTTATCCTTCCAATTGCAAAGATATCTGAAATATTCGATTATTAAGATGGTTGCTTCCATTTGGTGAATTCTTTTTACATGTGACGATTGTTTTGTTTGGAGTTTGAGTTTACTTCACTTCATTGTTGCTCTCCTTCAGGTGAATTACAATGTCATTTCTCGATATTTCGCCAGATTCCGAATTTCCAATTCAGAATCTTCCGTATGGTGTCTTTTCGACGAAAGGAAACGTTAGTTTTGTTTTCAATTGATAGCAGTATTATTGGAATGGAAATGAACAATGCGAATATGATATAACAATGGTTTTCAGCCTCGGAAAAGGATCGGTGTTGCGATAGGCGATTACATTCTCGATTTATCTGAAGTGAAACACCTCTTCAATGGGGCACACTTCGATTGTACACCTCACGTATTCGAGCAGGTCGCTCCATTCAGTTCATTCCAGAGAATATTCCTTCAAACTGACTGATCTCTAGAGATATTTGAATACTTACGATAGTTGAAGCAATTCATTGAATCGAATTGTTATAACACAAGTACTTGATGAATTATGCAAGTAGCATAGAGACCACTTGTGGTTTTTTGTTGTATGCACTTAGCGTATAAGTCGATTGAAGTGAATTGAGGTAAATGTCTGAATGAGTTGTTGCAATGAAGTCAAATTTCAGCAGTCGTTGAATGCATTCATGTCACTTCCGAGAGAAGCTTGGCGTGAGGCTCGTTCGAATATTCAAAGGCTGTTGGGTAAGCAAGACAAGACATTGAGTGGCAATAACGAGCTGAAAGCACGAGCGATTGTGCCTCGAAGCGAAGCAGTCATGCATCTGCCTGTTCAGATCGGTGATTATACCGATTTCTACTCATCCATACATCATGCCACTAATGTTGGTATTATGTTCAGAGGCAAGGAAAATGCACTGATGCCGAACTGGTAATGACATTTGTTCCATTTAGTTTCATTTTCGCCTCTTGTCTGGCCCTTAGCTGGGAATATGAATTTTTTGAGAATATGAAGAAGTTTTCTGCTGAGAATATGAGTAAGTTCGTGCAAGTTGATGAGCATCTTATTGTTTTGCACTAATGAATGACAATTGCTTCATCAATATCAATTGCTTCTTTCAATTTGCATAAATATCAACTCACTTCATCAATTGCTTCATTATGAGCATCTTACTTCACTGTTTCTTCATCAATTGCTTTACTCAGCGATTGATTTAAGTTTACTCTTTTGAGGTGATATATGTGCATTCACATTTGAATGTTCTCATTTGTCAGAATAAAAGTTATTCTGCAATCTCGTGAGCATCGTAAAATTCTGCAGTGTGATAGCCACCAATTGCTATTTATTTGTGTTTCTTCAAGGAAATGGTTACCAGTGGGCTATCATGGACGTTCGTCGAGTATTCTACCATCCGGAACCAGTTTGCGTCGACCGTGGGGACAGACAAAAGCTGATGACGGTATGTATTTGTTTGTGTATGTCAGTATTTCGAAGTTCCACTTTTATTCAACCCTGATCATGGAACTCTTACGAATCAATACAAAGGCATATCGTCTTGGAAAGCGGAAAATTTTTCGGCAATATTTTGATAGGAAGAAGAGAATCTGCAAGTAAACCATTCTACAGAATTGATCTAATCAACATCTCTGAACTTTTTTACAGCTGCTCAACCAACGTTCGGTCCCTCGAAATTGGTTGATTTTGAGCTGGAAATGGCATTCTTTGTCGGCGGTCCACCAACGGAAGTCGGTGAAACGATTCCGGTCAGCAAGGCCGATGAGAGAATATTCGGAATGGTTCTTATGAACGATTGGAGTGGTCAGTTTTTTGTGGTGCAGTATCACGTTTTCGAATGGCTGAATTCTGGAATATGTGCGATTTCTATAAATATGTAAAGTTGACTAAGCAACAACGACAGTTTGAAAACATCGGCTGAATTACTCTGGACAGTGTTTTGACACCGTAGTAATCAAATTTCACATCAATTGGTGCATTACTCCTTCTCTGAAATGATTTCGAGTGAAGCAGAACATACTTGGATAGGTTGGCCGAGGGGAACGTGGGCAAGACTGCGTGTGCACGGTTATAAAGTTGCAAGTTCACTTGCAAAATTTTTATTGTTTCCTCTCGGAATTGTTTTAGTTATCGTTCAAAACGGTTCGTTTGTTGCAGCTCGTGATATTCAGAAATGGGAATATGTACCGTTAGGACCGTTCTTGGGCAAAAGTTTCGGCACAACGATATCGCCGTGGATTGTTACTATGGATGCTTTAGCGCCATTCGTCATTGATAACATGGAACAAGTATAATCACTGTTTTTGTTTCACTTCACTGCTTTAGTATATACTCATTTGAAGTCATTTTGATGAAGGTGATGACTGTCTTACGTGTAAGTCTATGTGAATTCAGCATACACATGTTGTATAACTCCGTTCATTTTGTGTTTCAGGAACCCAAACCATTGCCCCATTTGCAACATGTAGATCCGTATAATTTCGATATCAATCTTCAAGCGTCGATCCAACGTAATATTCTGCTCTCTTAATTTTCATTTTCACCAGTTTATTGTGAAGTCCATTCTGACCTAATTTTGTAGATTTTGTCAACTTTTCAATCATTTGGATGAAATTTAATTTTTATTTGTAATTCGTCACCGACACATACGAAATTCAAATTTCAGCTGAAGGCGATACCACTGACCATGTTGTTTGCCACTCGAATTTCAAGGTTTTTCACTTTCTTATTTTCAACTTATTGAATTTTTTGTTTCGAATTTATTCGAGTGACATTTGAAAAAAAAAGGCATTTGTTGCATGAATGCGACTGAGGCGAGTTGGGTGGATATACTAATGTATGTAGATTGAGTGCTTCGAGTAGATGGACTAGAGATGTAAGAAATGAGGATGACAAAATGATTTTACATCTAGGTTTGAGATCACATTTCAGTTTGATAAATGATTTCGAAATGGATAATTTCAGTACATGTATTGGACAATGAAGCAGCAACTCGCACATCACACAAGTAATGGGTGTAATATCCGCGCGGGCGATTTGATGGGTTCGGGTACTATCTCTGGAACGGTTCGTCGTTGTGCTGATTGTATTGTTGCTGCATTATTCTTGTAGATAATCGATTCAGATGGCATTAAGCATTCGTTCATATTGCCGGTTGTCATATCGTGAACGTAGAAGAACGGGAATGAAAAGAAATGTTGATGTAGCAAGTGGAGTTGTAGCATGTTGAACCGTTGTTATTGAAATGCGATTGAATGAAAGCATTAATCGTTGAGGCGAATATAGATCTATTGCAATAGAACTGCATTCAGGATGAGAAGAGTTTTGGATCGATGTTGGAGTTGTCCTGGAAAGGTACTCGAACAGTTCAAGTGGGCAGTCAAACTCGTAAATTCATCAATGACAACGATGAAGTCATTCTCAAAGGTGTCTCTTCTAAAATTGCACCGTCTATATTAAAAGAAATTCATCTTTTCAAATAATCCAATTCTATCGGTTTCATATACCAAAGTAAGTCATCTTTTAGGCTGGTGCCAAGGCGATGGCTATCGAATTGGGTTCGGTGATTGCCGTGCTAAGTTGTTACCTGCGGTCAAGAAGTCTGAATGAATTCAGAAAAGAATCGTCTAATTCTTGACAAATTCAGACACAGTTCCATCGTAATGTAGGAACACATGATTGGTAATTCGTGTCAGATTAGAAATCGCTTATATTATTGCATAATTTATCTGAACTTTCTGTGTTANTCATTTTCAAAACCATTCTCAATCCGTTTTGTTCTGATTAATTTCTTGCCTACCTCACTAATTGAATATTAAACAGTCACTGTGAATGTCTACCTCAGCATATCTTGTTTCTACTTAACGGATTTGTTGTGTTGATCTTGTTGATGTGGCTTATTTCTACTTAACTCACTTAATTCTACTTAAGTGATATTGATCTTGTTGATGTGATTGCTTCTAAGCAAACATAATGACGGATACGTTCTCGTTTTCTTTCATATTTGTGAGCATTCCGAAAAGATTTTCGACTGATTATTTCTGTAGTGTTGTATTCTACGTTTGAATCCTACCTCAGCAATAACATCGTATATTTCTTCTGGTTATGTTGACAGTATCAAAGTATTTCACTTATGACTCGATTTTGTTCAGTGATAAAATTTCATTCGTTGTTTTTTCGTGTTCTCCTTGCGTAAACTACTACTTGTTCCGTACAATTAACACATTCAAAATATTTTACCTGTTCTGAGTTCAACAAAGTAATGCCTGGAGTTATGCCATCCTTGACCTTCCCTAACAATTCAGAATCCGAATTGCTAGGATCACATAATCGTCATCCAATTAGATCACATTCAACCAATACATCGCTTGGGATTTCTTTCTGTTTGAGAAGGAGTTTTCTTTTGGATATTGTCAAATGCTACCATCGACCAATGGAAAGTACTCGGGGGATCGATAGAACCGATCAGTATGAAGTAAGAGTTCACTTGGGTAACGGGATGGATCGCACCTAGACAATAATCTTGCTCCAACAAGGTCTGATGAGAATGTCGCTGATCAAAGTTCCATCTGATGAAAGATGACGATGACAGGTGTTTCAGAATGTCGTTCATAGAAGTGGCTCCAGATTCGCAGTTCCCCATTCAGAATCTGCCGTACGGAGTATTTTCAACCAAATCAAATGTAATTCTGAGTTTCAATTTTTTACAATTGACACGCATATTTGCTATAACAGTATTTCTTCACCGAACCATCATAATAGTTGATTCAGACCGGATGATTGCCTTTTGCGGATACTCTACTCTATTGCCGTTAAAGAAGTAACACAATTGATAGTATCGCTCATATCCAAATTAGTATAAAACAATGATTTACTGTTTAACTCACATTCTCCACTCATATTGATAGTCAATCTTGCTGTGCTATCGTTATCATTGATATTTTCTGCTAAATGCGTTTTTTTCTCGTTTCAATCGGAGCAATCTTCCAGCCCAAGAAGCGAATTGGAGTGGCGATTGGTGATGACATACTGGATTTATCGGCGGTCAAACATCTATTCACTGGGCCGATTCTCAGCTCCAAACAACATGTTTTTGAAGAGGTTCTTATCAACTTGCTTACTTTCTTTGATATGGTCATTTTTCGTTTGTTTCATTCTCGACTGGATGTAGTTGAGCAAATAAAAGACATTGCTGGATAGGAAGTCGAATGAATAGTTGATAGAAGTTACGAAAGTTAAGGATTCTTTAAAATGTGCAAATGAGAGTAAAATTAAATAGGCAAGGAAAATAGCGCCAATGCATAATAACAATTGGGCGAACAGGTGCACAGAGTGGCAGCCTAGAATTAGAAGGAGAGGTCGGGACCGAGCGAAAATGAGATGGTTAGACCAAATATGCAAAATTCCGGGTCAAACACAGATAAGAAGAGCAATCGATTGTGATAATAATGATAATTGGAGTGGTGATAGGCTTGAAAAGGCTTATGAAATGTGCATTAACAAGCGAGGTGAATAAATAAATGAATGAATAAATAACTTCGACGAATTGCGAATGAAATGATATCTAAGGAAACATTGAATGCGTTCATGTCGCTTCCGCGAGAGGCATGGCGTGAGGCTCGTGCGCAAATTCGATCACTATTAAGTAAGGATGATAAACGATTGAGTGAAAACAGCGAATTGAAATCGAAAGCGATCGTATCACAAAGCGATGCCATCATGTATTTACCTGCACAAATCGGCGATTACACTGACTTCTTCTCATCGATTCATCATGCTAACAACTGCGGCATTCTTTTTCTGGGTAGCAAAGATCGTCTATGGCCGAACTGGTTGGCTGTCTTGCCGTTTTTGTTGCCCTCCATTTGGCATCTCCATTGTCTTTGCATCATCTTACTATCATATGCGTTCATCCGCTCAGGGAGAATGAACTGAAAATGAATGTTGAATTCGTTTTCCTGAAGCTTTATCGCGATTGTAACAGATATAACTTGCTTGGAATTGGAGGAGAAGGTTGCCAGTGGCGTACAATGGACGTACATCAAGTGTGGTGGTCTCGGGTACACCCATATATCGGCCTTGGGGTCAGCTTATCACTGATAATGGTTCGTTTCTTGTTCTCTTCACAGAGTTTCGACCATTTGTACGCCTCTACCAAATAACACTTCACTCACTCTCTTTTCTTGCTCGAAATCGATCATATTGTTGTCGCTGAGCATCTACGAATTCATTTATGTTGAGTATGACGTAGCGAGCGACTGATATGATTTGTAACTGAGTGCGTTCATCGATGGATGCATGAATGAATGACTTTCATTTTTTACTGCAACTGACTCCTTTCCCCATTTTCTTCTAAGCTTTCTTCATTCGACGGTCACCAGGACAACCGAAGTAATTCATACATCAAATCGAATGCAATAATCTTCTACGAATTAAATTTTGTATATTCGTTTTTGATGTATGTCTCATTGATTGATGATGATTTCAGCAGAAGAGCCGATATTCAGCGAATCAAAATGTGTTGATACCNTTGATACCGAGCTAGAAATGGCATTTTTCATTGGAGGACCGCCGACCCAACTTGGTGAGACCGTTCCGGTTGAGAAGGCCGATGAACGAATCTTTGGAATGGTCCTTTTGAATGATTGGAGTGGTTTGTTGATGTTATTCAATTGCTTCACTCCTCTCACAAACGTCATGAGTTGTAATCACCTCTAGAATTTAAAAATCATCCTCGAAAAAAATTCCTAACTGGAAATAAATGAGAAAATTTCAATAAAAATGATAGTTGTCGAAGAATTGAATTAAGGTGTTGAAATCATACTTGGTGCTTTCAGCTCGTGACATTCAAAAGTGGGAATCCATTCCGTTAGGACCATTTTTGGGGAAAAGTTTCGGAACAACGATATCGCCGTGGATCGTCACTATGGATGCTTTAATGCCGTTCCTAGTGGATAATATGAAACAGGTTCATCACTGGAATGATTTCTGTTTCGATGATGGCATGGAACGAGGAGATTGAAATGGCTGAATGAAACGATTGCAGATGCAATTTTCATTCATTGTTGCCGTTCATTTGAGACTATTCAATGTCGTCTCTTATTCAATGATACTTTCCGATATCTAAAATCATTCCTCAGCTAACAATGAGGGGAATTTCATTTGTGGGAGGAACGAACACTTTGAAGAATTCTTTTCTGTTATCGGAATGCAACTGCTGAATGCTGATTGCAGAGTCCGGAGCCATTGCGTTATTTGAAGCACGATGATGCGTACAATTTCGACATCAATCTCGAATTAGCCATAAAACGTTATTCTTCGATCATTCATTGTTCATCGTTTCGTTGAATATTTATCGTTGAATGTTGATTATTGAGTATTTATATGAGATCTAACAAGTGAATTCCTGATTTCTTTCAGCCGCTACTTCAAGCATTGATCATGTTGTTTGCCGTTCTAATTACAAGGTTAACATTTCAACTGAATCCCTTTTTGAGTCACCATTCATTTATGATACGTAAAAGTTCGACAGAATTTCAAGTAATCTTTCAGAAATCATTCAGAATACCGCAGATTTGATAAAGTTCTCTGAAAATTTTCGTTGAATTCAAGTGAATTTATGAATTATTGTTATGTGCTCTCAGCTAGTGCACTCTATTTAGTATTAGTCGTATTCGTGTAGCTCAAGCTTTCCATTGAAATAAGGTGTGTTGCCAGGATTAGGTAATGATCGGATAAGGAAACGTGAGGTGATCACATAGCTTATAGACCATGGAATCGAGCGTGTTATTAGAAATAGTGGTAATTTTAGTATATGTACTGGACAATGAAGCAGCAACTTGCGCATCACACAAGTAACGGATGTAATATTCGCGCTGGCGATTTAATGGGATCGGGTACCATTTCTGGACCGGTTAGTTTCGTTTATCATATTGTTTTTTCCAGTCCGTTCGCATTCTCATAATTCTCTTTTCAATGTTATGTTCTTCATGATAATTTCTTGTACTGTTTCTCTGATTTTGTTTCACCGTTTGAAGGAAGAAGGTAGTTTCGGCTCAATGTTGGAGCTGTCGTGGAACGGTGCGAAGTCAGTGGAAGTCGGCGATCAAACTCGTAAATTCATAGAGGATAACGACGAGGTTATCCTCAGAGGTAAAGTGGTGAAGTAGCATTTTGTGATCATTTCCCGATAATTATTTCCGGATGAAATGACTCGATGAATGGAATGATGCGTTCAAATAGAAGTAATTGATCAAAATGCACTGTCTTAAAACAATATCAAACACAAATCTGTTTTCAGGATGGTGCCAAGGTGATGGTTATCGTGTCGGTTTTGGTGAATGTGCTGCTAAATTACTACCAGCAGTAGAATCGCCCTATTGAACCAAACCTGTTATCATGAATCCTTGAAGCATGTTCAATCATCACATGCGATTGATGATTGAGAAGTTGATGTTTAAGTGAATTAGTTTCGAATCTATTATTTTTGAAATGTTTGAAGTATTTCGTGGACGTATTGTTTGTTATTAGGCTCGTTTTTCGATATATTAACTGACGTTCGATTACGCTGTTAATATTCATCTTCATATTTATTGCTTCTAGTCGACGTATTGAGATATTTATCATTTTTTGATCGCTTCTAGTCGTTACCGTTGTGTATCTGTTTTAGATTGTGATATTTTTGCTATGTTCTTGCATAAAATGGGTATTTATATAAGCTCACATCTTGCCTTGTAATCGGTCAGCTCAATGCTTTTATTTTACTACTTCTCCAGCAAATATATGTTAATGTAATGTGTAACATTCTTGTCAAGCTGTTTTTGCGATCAGAACTATTCATTTGTTTTCACGAGAAAATTGGGTTGTTGTGTTGGTGCTGTGAGAATAAATGTTGTTCTGAAAGTGTTTCGAAGTAAACTTTCATTCGTTGTTTGATCAAAACTGATAACATTTTACATGTTTCAATTGCTCATGTGATTCATTCAGAACATTCATTCATCTTATCTTGTGCACTTATCAAAAACTGCAGTGGAACAGTTGTCAAATAGACCTATAGTTCAAGTATTTTACTGATTGTTCAATGCGGACAGTCAAGGTTTCACTTCAGTTAGAATTCAAGTGAATGTGACTATATCTAGCCAGGAACGGGGTGTATTCAGCACCAGTGCGGTGTACCAATTGAATATGAGTTTATCTCTGTGCAGATCAATTTATGACAGCGAATGGATCATGTCTAAACAATTAACAATTTTTAGTCGTTACTAGTGGATGGTGGAGTGAATTTCGTCGCAATGGCTTCAGTATCAACATTTATTGAGAATCAATTTCAATTCGCCGAAATGAACATTCAACATCATGGTAATGTTGATAAAACCGTATCGCTTATCAAACGTGCTGTTCGTATGGGCTATGATAGTATTGTTGTCAACACGGACATCGGTGATATCTTCAATGAGCAGGTCTCCTCTCCTATTTCATATTATCAACTTGTTCAGTTCTTATTTGCACAAGACGCCCGAATAAGGTCAATGAAATTTTTTATTGGTTTCAGTCGCAGATGGCCGAATCGACTGAAGATGAACCACCCATAAAAAAGAAGAAAAAGAAAGGCAAACGAGAGAATCACATCCCTGATCCCGTACAAATTGATGTCTCTCAAATCAATGCTGCTGATCTAGAGGTTGCTGGTAAAAAGTTGCGGTTATTTAGGTGAGTGTCTTGCACTTAAATAGTGCTGCCTCGTTCTTTTATGAAATGCTTCGGTCATTCTTAACCTAACTTTATAATCGTAATCCAGTTTGTGTCGCCATTTCGAAAGATTTATCTGGAAAAAGATTTGTGATTGGTGTTAAAGCGACAATAATAATACTGTCAGCGATAATATCGTTGATGTTGATCATACTAATGAAGACTACTGTATTCTTTTTGATGATAATTATGACAGTAACGGTACCATTAATGATAATAGCAAGATAATAATAGCAGTAACAATACTATTAACGAGCAGGATAATAGTCGCGATATAATAATAACGATACTGATTATATTAACGATACAATAATAAGGATAATAGTAACGATAATTTAACGATACAGTAATAAGGATAATAGTTCCGATACTGATTATATTAACGATACAATATTAAAGATAATAGTAATGGTAATTTCAGTCGTTTAACAGTGACACTCTCCGACAGTACATCGGTACATACGTTGATGCATCATCCGCAAACCACAAAG